ACCTAACCTAACATTTCCGTTAAAAATAAAATAACGAAAATTATCGTCGAATATTTTCGACTTAATCTCCTATTAAACCAAAGATTAATTTATCGATCGTTTAAATTTAACGTTTGTTGAGTTTTATTTCACGAATCATTACGTTCCGTGCCGCTTAGATGGGTCAACATCACCCCGAAAACAACACCTTCCCGTAAAAGCCCCGTTAGGCTGGCAAACTCGTTCCAATCGTGTACTGCCGGCAAACAGTTTCGACACGGCTTATTACGCCTGCCCTGAATAATTGAGCATCGTGTTAATTAACTCGACTTCTCACCCCTGAAATTAAACATCAGAGGGGAATGGGAAAGAGACTATGAGCTATGTTGATCGGGTTTTGTGAACGTCAAACGAAGTTTTAAGGAAGCCACTATTATATTAGCTATTGTTTATATTGCTTTTACGGGAAGGTGTGACAAAATTTAATAGTGTGCTTTCAAAACTTTTATGTTTCAGTTTAAATATTTTGGAAATTTAATGTATTAAAGTGAAATTTTTTAATTTTCAAGGTTCTTGAATTTGATGAATTTGGTGAATTTGGAGCATTTGGTGAATTTTGTGAATTTTGTGAATTTGGTGAATTTGGTGAATTTGGTGAATTTGGTGAATTTGGTGAATTTGGTGAATTTGGTGAATTTGGTGAATTTGGTGAATTTTATGAACTTTCCGAACTTTCCGAATTTTCTGAATTTTCTGAATTTTCTGAATTTTCTGAATTTTCTGAATTTTCTGAATTTTCTGAATTTTCTGAATTTTCTGAATTTTCTGAATTTTCTGAATTTTCTGAATTTTCTGAATTTTCTGAATTTTCTGAATTTTCTGAATTTTCTGAATTTTCTGAATTTTCTGAATTTTCTGAATTTTCTGAATTTTCTGAATTTTCTGAATTTTCTGAATTTTCTGAATTTTCTGAATTTTCTGAATTTTCTGAATTTTCTGAATTTTCTGAATTTTCTGAATTTTCTGAATTTTCTGAATTTTCTGAATTTTCTGAATTTTCTGAATTTTCTGAATTTTCTGAATTTTCTGAATTTTCTGAATTTTCTGAATTTTCTGAATTTTCTGAATTTTCTGAATTTTCTGAATTTTCTGAATTTTCTGAATTTTCTGAAATTTCTGAATTTTTTGAACTTCCTGAATTTTCTGAATTTCCTAAACATTTCAAATTTTTTAATGTTCTTAAAATTTACAGTTTTCCTCAACTTTTATAATTTTTTCAAATTTTCTAAATCTTACAATTCTTAAAATTTTTTTAATTTATAAATTTCCCCAAATTGCTAAGTCTCATAAAATTCACAATTTTCCAAGTTTCTCAAAATTCACAAATTTCCAAGTTTCTCAAAATTCACAAATCCTATAAAATCTACAATGTCCCAAATTTCCCATAATACTTAAATCTCCCAAATTTCTGAAATTGTCAAAAATTCTGAAATTCCCTAAAATTACAAAAATTCTCAAATTTCCTAAAATTGTAAAAATTGTCAAACTTCCTAAAATTGTAAAAATTCTCAAATTTCCTAAAATTGCTAAATCTTCCAAATTTCTCAAACTTCCAAAACCTCCGAAATTTCCAAAGTCACAAATTCCATCATCAAATTACCAAACCTAAAAGAAAAGAATCGTTCATTTCCCAACAAAAAGGCAGCCTTGCACCCTGCTTCTGTTTCTCCTCCTATTTTCGTCATCTCCGAATCGCTGTCACGCCAGTCCGCGATAAAAAGCGAAAGAAGACGAAGGCGAAAGAAGGACGAAAAGAAGTTGGAATCCTCGACAGAGGGGGTGAGTTTGACTTGCAGAGTGCTAATATTAAAGTTGCTCGTTGGCGAAGGGTCGTTGAGCAGTCGGCCATCGGTGGACGAAAAAGGGTGGTCGTGAGGGGGTTGGGGTTGGTCGAAGAGGGTTTTCTTCGCGCATCGGCCCCGATTAGATTAGAATTTGTTAGGGGTGTCGCCCGGTAACTTCGTCAGAGGAACGCTGTCAGTTTTGTTTCATCGCCGCCGGGCACAAGAGCTTTTTGAGAAAGTTTCTCGCACGAAATTCCGCGTCGAGACACGCTGAAAACTTTCCCGGTTGAATACCGACTTATGAGGAACGACGTGGGTCATGGGATGAGGCTGAATTAACTATGGCATCACCCGTAATACGAGTCTGAACGGCTCTTACCCTTTTCACTAACGAGATTATTCCTTTTTACATAGGAACTGTATTTTCTTTTGTTAAGAATATAACAAATAAAAATAACACGCTTAGTGTCCCGCGGCGGCCATCTTGTTTGCATAGATCAGCGTCTGTCTCACTCATGCACCTTCGAAAATTCGACTTTATTCTGTACAGAGTATTTATTACTATCTAAAAGGACCAGAGCGGCCTGTAAGGAAGTCCACTGATGGCCGCTGTACTCGCAAAAACTTAATTTTCGTAATATTCAAGCGTTGAAGTCGAATTTACGAAAATCGAGTCGTTTCTCTCACACCAATGCGATGTGCGAAGAAGAGGCGATTTCGTAAATTCGAGTTTAACGCATGAATATTGCGAAAATTAAGTTTTATGTATGAGGAAAATTTGAAAATTAGAAGATTTGGAAGGTTTTAGGTTAGAGTGATGTGAAAATTTCAGATTTGGAAAATTTAGAAATTTGAGAATGTTAGGATTTGGAGAGTTATGAGTTTGGGAATATGGAAACTTAGAAATTGAAAAATTGAGAAATTTAGAAATATGAAAATTTGGGGATTGGGACATTGTGAAGTTGGAAAATTGGAAATTTGAAAACTTAGCAATTTGGAAACGCAAAGATTTGGAAATGTAGAAATTTGGAAAATTAGGAAATTGCAAACTTAGCAATTTGGAAACTTAAAAATTTGGAAATTGGGAAATTGGAAAATTCGAAAATTGGGAAATTTAGAAATTGAAAAATTGGAAAATTTAGAAGTTTGAAAATTTAGTAATTTGGAAATGTGGAAACTGGAAAATTGGAGAATTGGGAAATTTAGAAAATGGGAAATTGGAAAATTAGGGAATTGAAAAATTGGAAAATGTAGAAATTGGAAAATTGGAAAATGTAGAAATTTAGAAATTTAGAGAATTGGAAGATCGGAAAATTGGAAAATTGGAGAATTGGGAAATTTAGAAAATGGGAAATTGGGAAATTAGGGAATTGAAAAATTGGAAAATTGGGAAATGTAGAAACTTTCAAACTTAGAAATTTAGAAATTTAGAAAATTGGAAGATCGAAAAATTGGAAAATTGAGAATTTGGAAAATTTAGAAAATGGGAAATTGGGAAATTAGGGAATTGAAAAATTGGAAAATTCAGAAATTGGAAAATTGGGAAATGTAGACATTTTCAAATTTAGAAATTTAGAAATTTAGAAATTTGGAAATTTGGAAATTTCGAAATTGGAAATTGGAAATTTAGAAATTGAAAAATTAGAAACCTGCAAATTCGAAAATATTCTAAAATTAAAAATCTCCATCCGTAATACTAAATAATGACAAATACTGATAAATATTATCACTAAATAACAATATAACTAATAAATAAATCTCGTACCAAAAATTAATGAACATCACCCAAAGTGAATAAACCTACAGGAAATTATCGAACGAAACGTATGGTAGAATGTATGGTAGAATTTTTTAAGCGATTTTATCGTGACCAATATGGATTAAACTGGTGAAAGCAGAAACGTTAGTGGGTTCCTTATTCCCCCACTGAGAATCACACCACCCGAGGGAATCAATTTCTCCTCACGTTCCCGGCGAACAGACGTCAAAGGGGAATTTCGATGAGTCGAATTGACAGTTTTACGATCTCTCGCTAAAGCTTCCTATATTTCGTTCGTCTCCGGCAAGGATCAGGAAAAGCTTTTCCTCGACATCGAGGACACTTGGCCGAGATCCGAACGTGTTTTCTCCTCGTCTTAATTCGAATGCCACGATGAAGGATTCCAGTTATTTCATGTAGCTGAACATTTTTTCTTATGGACGTATACTCGTTTCTTTCTTCTATTTTCATTTTTATTGAAATTTTTGGAGAATAATTTATTTTTAGCTTGTTTGAGTTGTTTTTTGGGAAGCTAGATATATTTTTGGTCATTTTAGAAGTTATTTTGGGAGAAATTTTTGTGTTGGGAGAATATTGTGAACTATTTGTTAATTTTGTTAATTTTAGTTTTTATTTTATTAGCTAGGTTTTATTTTCTATTTTATTTTATGTAGGTTAGTATTTTAGGTTCTAGATTTATTTATTCGATTAATTCAATTGCAAATAATTAGTATTAAAGATGGTAGCATGTATGAGATACTTTTCAAGAATAATAGTATTCTAATTTTCCCTTTGCCCATTTTTTATTTTCTATTTTCTGATTTTCCAAAACTTCAATCTTCAAATTTTTGAATTTAACAATTTGGTAATTGGAGAATTAAAATTTAAAAAATTTGACAATTTGGTAATTGAGAAATAAAAATTTTTAAATTTAACAATTTGGTAATTGGGAAATTAAATTATTTAAATTTAACAATTTGGTAATTGAGAAATTAAAATATTTAAATCGGACAATTTGATAATTGAAAAAATAAAATTGAAAAATTTAGCAATTTGGTATTTAGGAAATTAAAATTTTTAAATTTAGCAATTTGGTAATTGCAAAATAAAAATTTTTAAATTCAGCGATTTGATAATTTAAAAATTTAGCAGTTTGGTAATTGGGAAATTAAAATTGTTAAATTTAATAATGTAGTAATTGAGAAATTAAAATTTAAAAATGTAACAATTTCATAATTGGAAAATAAAAATTTTTAAATTCAACAATTTGATAATTTTAAAAATGGATGCAATGGTAATTTAAAAAATAGATGTAATTAAAAAACGTAGAAGATAAAGGTCCTCCACTAAAGGATAACCTTGGTAATATATCCTTTCTCTAAAATAATTGATCAGATAAATGTCTACATTTCACTCACCGTGTCTGCTCTTGGAGGAATCTACGCGAAGAGTACCCTCGCTTTGTATCTGATCCTTTCCATTTGTCACTCGACAAGTGTAGAATCCTACATCCGATACGTCCAGGTTGATAATCTTCAAGCGACTTCCGGCGATATTCTTCGCTGCATGCTCGTGTGTCTTTGTAACAGCACAATGGAAGCATTTATTAGTTAAAAAGTTAATTGCAAATCAAAATTCTATTATTAAATCGCTATATATTATGAAATTTGAGAAATACTAAAGCGCAAGCTTTGAATTTGGCGCCAAACGAAAGGTTGGGTTAAGTATTAGTTCAGGTTCTGTTAGTTTGTCAGGTCTGTCTGTTACAATATTTTTTACTAGTTAATAAGGACAATAGTACATTATTATAAATAATAAATAGTAAACAGTACAGTTGTTATATTGTTAAATTGTCATTTGTATTAATATTATATTAGATTAGTATAATTTATTATGAAAATGTATATTAACTCGTTATAATTTATATCAAGTGCATACTGTTCGTTTATTAATTACATTAAGTGCTTATTAGATCGTTATAGTTTATACTAACTGCTTATTAGGTCGTTACAATTTATTCTCCTATTTGGCGCCAAATTTGAATGTTAGTTCTGGTCAATTTATAAAATACATCCTTATCTTCATTTTCCTACATATGTTTATTGCGATATCTTTAGCAAACTACTAAAACTAACCTTATATTATACCCTCATGTTACTACAATTATAATAATTTATAATAACAATATATCAGGTTGTTCAATTTATATTGAACATACATTAGTTTGTTACATTTTTTACCAACAATATACTTAATCGTTATTAAATGCATATTAGGTTATTACAGATTATATTAAGTGCATATTACTCGCAATTTATATTAATTGCGTAGTTCGTTCTAATTTACTCTTATCTGACGCGAAATTTAAATATTAGTTTAAGTCAATTTGTAAAAACCATCTTCATTCTTTATTTTTTACTGCAATATTTTTAGAAAATTGCTAAAGATAACAGTAGATTATACCTTCATGTTATAATTTATAATAATAGTATATTTGATCGACACAATTTATATTGAGTACACACTAATATGTTATAATTTTTACTAACGGTATTCAGATCATATTAAATGCATATTAGGTTTTTATAGTTTGTATTAACTGCATACCAGGTCATCACAATTTATATTAAGTGCATATTACGTCGTTACAATTTATTATTAAGTGTATACTACATCGTTATATTTTACTGCATCCTCTTTGGCGCGAAATTTGAATGACAGTTCAACAACAGCATAAAAATTCGAAAAATAAATTGTATAAATTTTTATAAAAATATTGTAATATTAAAATTATTGAAGATGTAATTTTTCTTTACCTGCGCGTGTATCTTCTTGATAGTGATTTTTGGTCGTTTCTCTTCGAGAGGTGCTTCATTTTTGAACCATTTTATCTTCGTTGGTGGAGGATCACCGACAACCTCGCATCGCATGTGTGCAACACCGCCTGCATCCTTCGAAATATTCGATAATGTGCGTATGAACTTTAATGTACCACTTTTGGCCCCTGACACAGCCTCCATATCGGTTCTGTAAAATAAAGGAAACTTGCTATCACAAAATTTCTGATATCTTTCATACATAACCTAACCATAAATAAAATTTACAAGTTCTTTGAATTTTACTTATTAATCAAAATATTTGTGACAACACTATTAAAAATTCATAAAGTTAAATATATTTTGCAATTACATTTCATAATTTTCATAAACAAAAGTCGTAAAAAGTACTTCATTCTCCAAAATGTCAAAAATTTTCATAACTGACTAACTTAATAATAATAATTGATAATAAATATTTATTAAAAATGACAAAAATGCCTTGGATAAATGACAGCAAATTTAATAAACATTGAATGCCTCTTTTTCCTAGCAACCGTAGAGTATTACAAAAGGAGCAACGAAAACCACCGTGCAAGTAAAACAAATAAACTAAACCGTTTTAAACGGCGCTAAATCACTGGATGTAAATTTTCAGTACACCCGTTAGGTAATTCTCATTGAAATGTATGAGCAACATGTTGTCACGAGAAATTGACCAAAGAACGTTCAGGACGCGAGTTAAATTTTTTATCGACTGCCGGTTTACATGCCCCGTTTAGCATGATTGCAGGCATAGACAGGCAGCTCGTATGAAAATTCAACGATTATTATACCTTGTATTCGCATTTTTACAACGTGTAAGCCGTGTCGTCCGGGCAAAATATTTCCTGCGATGGCTGGGAATTTGTTACGACATGTATTACAAGCGCAAAACATCCTGTACAGGATCCTCCAAAAATGACCCCTTTTTAATTACTGCAAACGTTTATTTCTTGTTTTAATTGTTTTGCGCTGTTATTAAATGTGGTGCACGGTAAAATGGTTTCTTTAGTGCTTCTTTACTGGTTTTTTTATGTTTTAATTATAGTAATTCTATGAATTATGTGAATTGTTTGAATTGTTTGAATTGTTTGAATTGTTTGAATCGTTTGAATAGTTTGAATTGTTTGAATCGTTTGAATCGTTTGAATCGTTTGAATTATGTGAATTGTTTGAATAGTTTGAATTGTTTGAATTATGTGAATTGTTTGAATCGTTTGAATCGTTTGAATTATTTGAATTATTTGAATTATTTGAATTATTTGAGGTATTTGAATTGTTTGAATTATTTGAATTAGGTGAATTATGTAAATTATGTAAATTATGTGAGTTATATGAATTGTTTGAATTATTTGAATTGTTTGAATTGTTTGAATTGTTTGAATTGTTTGAATCATTTGAATAGTTTGAATTGTTTGAATCGTTTGAATAGTTTGAATTGTTTGAATCGTTTGAATAGTTTGAATTGTTTGAATCGTTTGAATCGTTTGAATCGTTTGAATTATGTGAATTGTTTGAATAGTTTGAATTGTTTGAATTATGTGAATTGTTTGAATCGTTTGAATCGTTTGAATTATTTGAATTATTTGAATTATTTGAATTATTTGAAGTATTTGAATTGTTTGAATTATTTGAATTAGGTGAATTGTTTGAATTGTTTGAATTACTTGAATTATTTGATGTATTTGAATTGTTTGAGTTATTTGAATTACGTGAATGATATAAATTATGTAAATTATATGAATTATATGAATTATGCTACACAATGTCTGAAAATTAATTAAGCAAAAGTACGAAGAATTTATTACTTTAACACTAGAGAATCAATTGACTTGATTAATCATTTCACTGAATGTATTTATTTCTAACACTAACAGTTAAAAAAGTTGACTAACTAAAAAATAATTAACAATATTTAAATAACCGACTGATTCAAAATTTTAGTATTGCAAAAGTTCAATGAAACTAATTAAGTATTTCATTTAGCGTATTAATATATAATTATAAAAATTGAAAAAGTGCATTTTGTGAACATGAAATATAAACATGAATTTTGAGTAACCCTGTACGAGTTCGATTCGTCACGAAAAATTGCAACAGGATATCTCAAGTTTCCATCACAGTCCGAGATGGTTTAAAACGTCTCGAATCCCATGGTTGAAAGTGGTCAGTGTCTCTGGGTAGATTTTTATGGGTCCACGATCCCACACCGTGTGTATATACCGTGGATATACCCTGGAGGCTTGTGTTTCCACCCACATGCAGATCGATCGCTGGACCCGCTTCATCATCCAACCTGGCTCGCTAACAATGGAACTTCGAAACAGGGATCATTAAAGGAGTCGAGTTTTATCTGCGATGTTCGCTGAAACTTTCGCTCGATTGACGAAGGAATTTTGATTAAGCCAATGATGAAAGATAGAAGAACTCTAAGACGAAAGATGGCGATCGTTTTTATCGACAGTTTCTTTGGGAATGATGTATGTGAGGCATTTGCTTTGAAAGTGCAAGTCAGATGAACTATAAGAACTGATAAAACCTAGCTATCAATATATAGTCAGGTAGTTAAAAGTTTATAGTTAGATCTATAGTTAAATTAATTTGAATCCTCTAACTTTTGGATAATGAAAGTATTGGTGATCTCGCAATAACAGAAAATAAACTTGCACCACTTTCAAAATGAACGATTGACATTTAATAACTACCATTTGATAATTGACATTTGATAAGTGACATTTGATAATTGACATTTGATAAGTGGCTGCTGATAATTGACATTTGATAAGTGGCTGCTGGTAATTGACATTTGATAAGTGACATTTGTTAAGTGACTCTTGGTAAATTACATTTGATAGGTAACATTTGATAAGTGCCATTTGATAAGTGGCTGCTGATAATTGACATTTGATAAGTGACATTTGTTAAGTGACTCTTGATAAATAACGTTTGATAGGTAATTATGATAAGTGGCATTTGATAATAGACATTTGATAAGTAACAAGTATTTTATGACATAAAACCTAAAAACACTTACATTTCACCACCCCTAAATTACAAAATAATGAAATTAACTATCAAACTATAAAAATTAATGTTGTCTACCCACCAAGTAATTTTCCAAACATTAAACAAGGTAAAGCACGAATCACACATTTTCGAGAAACATTTCGATTTGCACGAGCATGTAACGACGCGATAATGCGACAAACGTGATTGAAATTACGTGTCGTAACCGATCGTAACGAGGGCATTATGGTTACGATATCGTGCGTACACGGGTCGACGACTTTCAGCCAACTACATTATTCCTGAACGCCACGTGGCTCCATTAATATTGATGCACCGATTCTCGGGAACCCCTTCTACGAAAGGGGATGTCGAGGGAGAGAACTGACAGAGATTCTGCTAGACGTTGTTGCGACACAGGGCTTTAGCCCTCCGAGGATCTTACAGGATCAATTCTTCCTCGATCCAAGTATTGTTTGAATACATTTATTTTGAGATGCATGTTCAGGTAGGATGACGTGTCGAGGATAGACGATTTTGGAAACTGTCGAGTGTGGAGAGTTTGGGTAGTAGAGGCTTTGAGCTGCTTGGAAAGTTGGGAATTTGAGACGTTTGAGGAGGACTGGAGTTTTGAGAAATTTTGGGAAATTAGGAGGTTTGGGGATGTGAGATTTGGAAAGTTAGAAATTTAGGAATTTGGAGATTTGGAGATTTGGAGATTTGGGGATTTGGAGGTTTGAGGATTCGGGAATTTGGGGAATTTGGGGAATTTGGAGATTTGGGGTTTTAGAGATTTGGGAATTTGGAGATTTGGAAATTTGGAGATTTGGGAATTTGGGGATTTGGGGCTTTAGAGATTTGGAAATTTAGGGATTTAGAGTAGTAATCCAGCGGGTAGTAACAGAAGCGTGTGAATATCCAACGGGTAGTAACAGAAGCGTGTGAATATCCAACGGGTAGTAACAGAAGCGTGCGAATATCCAACGCGTAGTAATCCAGCGTGTGAATATTCAACGCGTAGCAATCCAACGCGTGGTAATACGACGCGTGGTAATTCTACGCGTAGGAATCTAACGCGTGGAAATCTAACGCGTAGTTAACCAACGCGTAGTAATGCAACGCGTGGTTAACCAACGCGTAGTAATGCAACGCGTGGTAATTTTACGCTTAGTAATACAACGTGTGGTAATGCAATGTATAGTAATTCAACGCGTAGTAATACAACGCGTGGTAATTCTACGCGTAGGAATCTAATGCGTGGAAATCTAACGCGTAGTTAACCAACGCGTAGTAATCCAATGCGTAGTAACCCAGCGTGTGAATATCCAACGCGTAGTAATACAGTGCGTGGATATTCAACGCGTAATAATCCAACGCGTAGTAATACTACGCGTGGTAATTCTACGCGTAGGAATCTAACGCGTGGAAATCCAACGTGTAGTTAACCAACGCGTAGTAATGCAGTGCGTAGTAATTCTTGTCTTGTAATTATTTGTATACAGGTCGCTGTGGGTCTCGAGGGATATAATTCTGAACAAGATCTTCCTTTGCAAAAATGGGATTCGAAGCTTCGTTGTTGAGTTATAAAGGAAAAGCACGGTCCAATCAGAGCGCGAGGATTGCGCGCGCAGCCACTAGTCTCGAAGCTGCGCTCTCGTGTCTGCGCATGCGTACTCGCGCTCTGATTGCTGCGCGTTTTTCCTTAATAATTCAAAAACGAACCTTCAAACCCCATTTCTGCAAAGGGAAATCTTATTCAGAATCGCGTCAGCTACCCCTCATTCGACCTACACTAATTGTGAGACACCCTGTACAACAAGTGTATCCACCGCATCGAATCCTGTAACTCGCACCAAATCCCCATAATTCCCATCAAACCCCGAAGCTAAAAATCGCTCTCTAAATTTCACTCTCGGTCATCGAACTACAGCGACATCGAACAATTCATGAATCATCCCCAATCAGAAGCAATCGTTCAGGCTGTTGTTACCCACGCGAAATTGAAATCCGTACAAAAGCATGCTTACAAGTTCCGGTTCTACTGGAGGAAAGGTGTTAAAACGTTGCTAAGACGGGGTCGTCGAATCGTTAGCACTTTGACGCGCCCAGCATGTTACGTCACTTCCTTCGCTGCCGGTTTTAAGCAGTCAGAAGACCGTCTCA